TTGTGCACACATTCATTGTTTATACTTTTTATTTTATTTTATTTTATTTGGGAACAGCTATGGTCATTGATTACACATTGCTTTCATGTTACAATGGCATAGTTGGCTCTTTTAGGGAAGGAGGGTGCAGCTCACAGTGGCCCATGCGGAACGAACTGGCAACCTTAGTGTTATCAGCACCACACTCCAACCAGCTGAGCTAACCAGTCACTCTCACATTAATTGTTTATTGTAGACATTAACAAGTCCAGACTGCCTCACCCCCGCTCTACTGGGAAGTTCTATCTCCATGCTTCTGTCTGAAGGGTCCAGGGCTTCAAGCAGACGAAAGCATGGGTCAGTGTTTTCAGATACAAAGCAGGGTTGAATATATGTCCCGTAAAAAAGCAGATGTATTTTAAATACCAGCTCAAAACTTTAGCCTCATTTCCACCTCATCTCACACCTGAAAGGCTAACAAATATATACGAGATGCTCAAAGTCATTAGAAATCAGAGACATCCAAATTTTAAAACTGTAATGGTGCTTCATCTCATCAGCTTGGCCAAATTTGGAAAGTGAACAGTAGTAATTGTCGGCTAAGATGTAAGGAAACAGGAAACTTCAGGTATGCTGGTAGAGAGTAATCTGGCGGTACAGAGGGAAATTAAGTATATGTATACTGTGACCCAACAGTCCCACAGTGGGCACACCCCAGAGGAATCTCCCGCAGGTCCAATAGGGAATGGTCAAGGATTTCACTGTGGCTCTGTGATAGTGGGAAGTTGATGGTAATCTAAGTGTCCATCTGTAAGGAAATGGGTGAAAATAACGTTGCGGCTCTCCATTGAGGAAGACCACCAAGCATTTAGAAACAGCAAACCAAGTGTATATTCATCAACACGGACAGATTTTACAAACATAGTATTGAGTGAAAAATGTAAGAAACAGAACAAGTTTTATGGCATATTTTATGAAAATTAAAAGTGCATACATAGACAAAGTATACCAGTGGTTGCTAGAAGCTGAGGCAAGGGATGGGGAGTGACTGCTAAAGGGTACATTCTTTTGGGGATGATGAAAATACCCTGGAATTAGATAGTGATACACAACATTATAAATTTACTAAAAACCACTGATTTGTATAGCTCAAAAGGGTGAATTTTATGGTATGTGAACCATATCTCAATAAAAGTAAAAACACACACAAACCAATACTCCGTATTTTACAAGGATACTTAGATGGTTAAGGATATATCAAAATATTGGAGTGGCTGCCTGAATGAGGAGGGGATGAGATTGAGGGTTAGGATGGGGGGGAGGCCTTTTCACAGCCCATGAGCTGAGGGAGATGATTAGCTCAATCCTCTGTGACTGTGGTAAACCAACAAATAAATAACAACAATAACAACAGAGGAGAAGAAAGAAAAAAAGGTTTATAAATGGCTTTAATGAGGGAAAATACACTACAATGAGGAATGAAAGGAAACAGAATATTACAATTATAGAAATGTTAGAAGGGTGACTATGTAGAACAATGTATGCACACATAAATGGGCAAAAGTATGACAGATAGCTGTAGGGTAGTGTGGGGTACTGGCAAGCGCTTCTGCCATTGGTTGTATGATCTTGGCCACCAAGGTACTTAATCTCTCTGTAGCTTAGTTTCCTCATGTAAAATGCAAATAATAATACCTACTCCCAAACATTCTAATAAGAATTAAATGACTTAATTTATCCCTGATATATAATAGTAAATCTTATATAAGGTTTACCTGGTATTATTATCTTCTTAACTTTTTTAACTGAAGAATCTGGACTCAGATTCATGATGTAACTTTCACAATGTTACCCAGAGCCTCAGTTTTCTCATCGATTGTGAGGACTAAAAGGGATAATGTACTTGGCACACAGTAAGCACACAATAAATGTTAATGGATTATATTATTAGGAATAGTATTAATGCATTGGTATAGTTTTAAAAGTAGCACCAAAAAGAAGACACAAAATATAACATTTTTTCATGTTATTCCTGAGGTAACAATTCTTCCATTTTCATTAAATTTCATTTTTGGGTGTAGTCTTCCCAGACCTTCCTCTCTAGATGCATGGCACTTTAAAAAGTTCCTTCATAGAAGTAATTAATTAATTAGGTAGGTTCATCTCTGTCGTCCTCAGTAGAGCCTAAGATCCATGAAGGCAAGGATGGTATCTGTCTATGCCCAGTACGCAGCACAGGGCCTGGCACTCTGGTGACTAACACATACTTGTTGAATCAATGAACAATTAATGAAGAAAAAAAACCACATTGTAACATGTATGTTCTCAACTGCATAATCATGAGATTAGAGGCAAGTATCATTTCCTCCATCTGTCTGAGAAGTGATGAATTGCCCATTTCGTAAGCTAGGAAGACAGTCAACATTAGAATTCTGGGCATCTGTTTTTGGCAGCTCTCCCTGAACCTGTTTTCAGGAATCCTTTCAGTTATTGGAGAACTCTGGAAACCCAGTACTTTTCCAGAACCTCCTGCTCAGCAAAGGAAAAGTACTCAGTCTCTCTAGATTATCTTCAGCCAGTATACATTAGACCTTACCCACTGACTCATGAAAAGGTAGGGACCTTAAAACTGTCTTTCATTTCACAGATGAGAAAATGGGCCCAGAAAAGTGGACTGATTTTCCTAAGCCTAACACTTGTTAATAATAAAGCTGGAAGTGAAATAAGTCAGAGAAAGACAAATACCATATGATCTCACTTATACATGGATTCTAAGGAACTGAATGGATGGGAGACGTGGATAGAGATAGTCTCAGAGACACAGAGGAAAAACTGAGGGTTGTTAGTTGGGAGGGGGTGGGGCTGAAGGAGAAGGGGAAGGGATGAGACAATACAAATTGGTAACTACAATATGGCCTCAGGGATAGAAAAGACAGTCTGGGGAATATAATCAATAATGTTGTAAATATTTCTTAGGGGGCCAGATGGACTCATGTCTTGTGGGGGAGACCACTTCATAGTCGGTGTAGAGCCCTGACCACCGCACTGTATTTCTGAAGCTGTGTTGAATAATATTGTATGTCAACTATAATTATATATACATACAGTCACGGGACATGGAGTAGAGAGTGGGAATGGAGTCAATGGAATTGTAATAGATAAGCATGATATCGGGGGGGGGGGGCAATAGACGGGGAGAGGGGGGTTGTTACTTTGTGAGGGTGAAAAGGATAATTATTGCATTGTTCTGTACACCTGAAACTAAAAAAAAATAATAAAAAAATAAAAAAATAATAATAATAATAAAGCTGGTACAACTGGAAATAAGAGCATTCTACAGATCTCTCTCTCTCTCTCTCTCTCTCTCTCTCTCTCTTTATTATACATATATATGTAATAGTATCATTCATTAAAAACTATGCTTATGAAAGAATTTTTTATTACATTAGGGAAAACACTCTTGATATGTTAAGTGACAAAAACCAATTAAAATTATAGGTATAATATGTATTTAATTATAAAATATACAAATATATAAAGGCGTATATGTGTGTGTGTGCATTCCTCAGTTATCTATGTAAAAATAAAAAAAGAAGTGTGCCATAATATTAACAGTGTTTATTTCAGGTTGTTGGGGTTATAGTTCATTTTCACTTATGCTTTTCTGCATTAAAAAATATGTCTTCAATGAGCATGAAATACTTTATAATCAAAAGTTTAGGTTTTTAAATTCCTGCTCTAATATTTTTGAAAGGTTTTATTTTGGTACTGGTCAGCACTGCAGGGTAAGCAAGCATCAACCTAGAGTCCAAAGAAATTTTACCAGTCATTTAAACCTGATCTGTAAAAATGGGGATAATTATATCTACTTCACAGGGCTATGTGTGAATGAAATAATAAATATTAAATTCCTTTGTAGCTCTAAAGCTTGATAAAGGGGTTAGGTGGTATTATAATGATGATAAAGTCCTGTAGCCTAAAAGAGGTGGGAGAATACTTAGGATAACAGGTACCTTTGTGCTAAAAAGCTTTAGGTTGCGAGAGAAAAGAAATCTAAGTATCAGGAGAAAAGTGAGAGGGGTTTTGTTTTGTTGTTGTTATTTGTTTGTTTTTTTGCCAACACTTAAGAGAAACAATCACATGCCTGACCCTACTTCTCCCTTTTCCCTATACTTCCAATAAATGCCTGCATGTTCCCTCTTCAGCTTAAATCTTCCATCTCTTTCTCTTAAGCAGCCCATTCAAGAAGCAGCTTGTAGTGGACAGGATCTGGTGTATTTTAAGGCAATGTCAGGTTTGTTTCACATTGTGAAGAGGCAGCCTATGTGACAGCCTGTCTAATCCCAAACCAGAAAGAGGCGATTGCCATCCTGCATGATTAGAGTATGTTATGAAAAGAAGGTAGCTTTTAGCTGGGACCATTTGTATTTTATCCTTTGAGCTTTATCCTTTGCAGTGCTTTCTCAGTCAATACCTTTGGGGTCTCACACATTCTATGGAAAATAAGATTTCACACACAGCAATGATTTTTTAAAATTAGTCATAAGTGCCAAAGGCAGTGTGCCAAATTATTGTTACTTTAATTTTTTAAAAAGTAATATAGACCTATGGTAAATTTACCCAAGAGAAATGAAAATGTATGCTCACACAAAAACCTGCACATGACCATTTATAGCTGCTTTATTCATAATTGCCAAAACCTGGAAATAATTCAAATGTTCTTTAACTGGTAAATAAACAAACTGTGATACATTTATATAATGGGATACTACCCAGCCATTAAAAAAAATGAACTATTGATAAACACAACATGGATGACTCTCAAATGCATTAGGCTAACTATGTAAGGGAAGCCAGATCCAAAAGGCTACATATTGTATTATTCCATTTGTATAACATTTTGGAAAAGGAAAGCTATAGGGAAGAACAACTCAGTAGTTGCCAGAGAAGAGGTGAGGGAAGAGAAGAGATGGTGAGAGGGGATATTGGGGGGGG